CTGGTGATGTCCATGTCTTGGACTAAGACCTTGAGCTTTGACAATATAATAAGTTTCATGACACAACAATTCTCCTAAACGCTTAAGGTTTTGGGAAAGGTGGACGATATACATATACTCATACTACACATTTTTGGTTGAATGCAAAAAATATTTTCCTTAAGAACTTCTTGGACTAAGGCCTTGAGCTTTGACAACATAATAAGTTTCATGCACACAGCAACTTTCCTAAACGCTTAAGGTTTTGGGAAAGGTGGACGATATGCTCATACTACACATTTTTGGTCCTGAATGCAAAAACAATTCCTTCAGAACTATATGATGATACATCGCAGCTTTACAATCCATCTATAGATCTTTCTTCTTCATATAAATAAGGCCTAAAGTTTCAGAGCATTAAAATCAAATAACATGCTTGCTCTAATTTGCAATCTGCAACAGCCATACACATGACTGCTGAAGATTATTTTAGCAGTTCGTGCTTAATGAGCTCCTATCTGCCACAGTGATAACTGATATAACTTCAACAGCTTGTTGGTGCAGAAAATCCAGTTTTAGTTTCTGCCGCAGAACAAATTTTCGGTGCTGGTGGAAAGAGATTAAGACCAGCATTAGTTTTTCTGGTGTCCAGAGCAACTGCTGAATTAGCTGCTTTGTCGTAAGTTCCTTTCTCTGCTATAGATGTACCACTTTGTATCAGGATTTTTGATATTGAACACACAGATATTTTGGTTTTGCAATCCAGGGAGCTAACTACAGAACATCAGCGCTTGGCTGAGATCATAGAGATGATTCATACTGCAAGTCTAATACATGATGATGTCATAGACGATAGTGGGATGCGAAGAGGTATGTACAATGTTTTTTTTTTCAGGAACAAGTCAGCCGTATTGTCAATAGAAAACCGTTCTTTCATTATGCTCTTTTCTATTTTTATTTTAGATCTCTTAGAAACGTTTGTTTAATGTTTTCTGGGCATGGCTGTGCATGGTTGTACTTCAACCTTCTATTGTTTTCTTTTTGCGTTTGAACTCTGGAGACATATGTTACATTGGAAATTCATGTCATTTTTACACCTCTCTTTAGTCTTTGCTATTCCTTGTTGCACTCGCAATACCGGAAGCCTTTTTTCTCTTCTCGAAAATCGAAATGAAGGAAGCATATTCCTTTAACACATTGACATTCACTTCATCATAATGTAATGGTTTTGTGAGGGTATCAATAAGTTGACCGGTTTATTCTAAATTAGATTGGATCATTTTCAAGAAAAGAAACAATCCATCAGCTTTTCTATGTCACAGGGTAGCTGTGCTTACTAGTGATCTTGTGTACAGTGTTTTTCATGAGCAGATCAGCCATATTGTCAATAAAAAAACATTCTTTCATCACATTATTTTTTTATTTTTAATTTTAGAACCTCTTGGAAGCATTTGTTTAATGTTTTCTGGGCATGGATGTCCATGGTATTTCTAAATTCTATTGATACTCTTGGCCCTTGTACTTGCCTGTTCGTTTCGGCTGGATTGGCTTATAAGCCATGGCTGAAAGTACTGCTGGCTGGTTTGGTGTGAGAGAAAAACACTGTTGGCTGGCTGATAAGCTAAGGCTTATAAGCCAAATACAGGCTGCCGAACAGGCTGATAGGTTAGTTTGGAAACCCGTGCTTCATGTTTAGCTCTCTTTACTAATTACCTTGTTGCATTCGTGATACAGGAAGCTTCATCTTTGTTTCCTTTACGCTCAATGTTATTCATCATACTTCATAATGTAATGGTTTGGTGTGGGGACCAAGGCCAATAAGTTGACCTATTTATTCTAAACTAGATCTGATCGTTTGCAGGAAAAGAAACAATCCACCAGCTCTATGGCACACGGGTGGCTGTGCTCGCCGGTGATTTTATGTTTGCACAGTCTTCTTGGTTTCTTGCAAACCTAGAAAACATTGAAGTTATCAAGCTCATCAGCCAGGTACTAAAGGATTCAGCCAGGCTGTGATCTCTTCATTTAAATAAAAATGTTTGTGCTTTGTTTACCTGAATGGAGGAAAAAAAACGATGTGCTAACAGGTAATCAAGGATTTCGCCAGCGGCGAGATAAAACAGGCATCTACGCTCTTTGATTGCGACGTCACCCTCGACGATTATCTGCTGAAGAGCTACTACAAAACCGCTTCTCTGATCGCAGCAAGCACAAGGTCCGCCGCCATATTCAGCGGCGTGGACACCACCATCTGCGAGCAGATGTTCGAGTACGGCAGGAACCTGGGGCTCTCCTTCCAGGTGGTGGACGACATCCTCGACTTCACCCAGTCAGCGGAGCAGCTCGGGAAGCCAGCGGGGAGCGACCTGGCGAAGGGAAACCTGACAGCCCCCGTGATCTTCGCGCTGCGAGACGAGCCATGGCTGCGTGAGATCATCGACTCCGAGTTCAGCGAGCCCGGTTCCCTGGCGACCGCGGTCGAGCTCGTCAACCGGAGTGGTGGGATCAGGAGGGCACAGGAGCTCGCGGAGGAGAAAGGTGAACTGGCGATACAGAGCCTGCAGTGCCTCCCGAGGAGCGAGTTCAGAAGCGCCCTCGAGAGGGTGGTGCAGTACAATCTCCAGCGGATTCAGTAGGTATACTTACCGGCTCCACGCTGTTTCTCTCGTTCTCTGAAAGATCCGGGGGGCTCCATGTGGATGTAGAGCAACTCCTGCCGGAATCCATGTTATTTAGTGGCACCATGTTGGCTCCGGGGAGATGATTGGCACAGCAGCATCACATGCGAGTGTGCAACCGACACTGCCGCGTACCCACCAACCTCGTGGGAACTGGAGCATTTTGTTTCTGCAGCTGGTGTCATGTATATATTGTATTGTATCTGCAAGGGGAATAGGAAAAGAAGGCAGGCAGCGTATATTGTATAGTTGGCTCTCCATTTCTTTGGGCATAAAGCTTTGCGTGCAGTAGTTCTAATATTCTGCTGTTGTTGTAACTACAAACAGATAAAACTGTTCTGGACGACCACGACGTTGATAATTTATTTATGTATATGCAGTACATCCTGATCATGGAATATACTGCTGGGATGTATGCATGATGAGTAGGCTGGTTTCACCATCATCAGCTGATGGTGATGCTGATTCTGTGGTGCCTGCCTGTGCGCGTTGCGGCTTTGCCTACCAGTGCCATTCCCCTGTCCTGTCTTCTGTGGTGGTGGTGCGCTGCTGTCTGGTCCGTCCGTGTGAAATCAGGCGCCACGCCACTCTCTCTGCTGGTTCGGTTGGGTTGGGTTTCTTTTTCTGGTGGTCGGTGTTGCTGGCCATTCTTTTGTGGTGATGCTGAAGTGAGCGCCATTCCGACGCGACGTCCAACAGATCCTGTGATGGTCACGGCCGGTCGTCCTCTCCTTTTTCCCGAGGACCGGTAGACGCCTGCACAATTGCTATTTTTGCCGCCACCATCACCAGCGGTCCGCCCGGCACGGCGGTCAGTAAATAAATACGTCCACGACCCCGTGCGATCTCCGGCCAGTTATCCTGGGTCGCCGTGAAATCTGAATGATCAATCAATGACTAGACTACTAGAGGCGGACACCGCACGTGCTGTAGCTGCACAGTGCAGCGCTCGCAGGTCGGCGGCGCCCATGTGTCGCTGCTGCTGCTGCTGCTGCATCCCGTCCCGCGTACGGCGTACCTGGTCCGTGTCCGATCCGGCGCAACGACGCAGCTGGGTGGGTTTCGGCAGATCCTGCCCTCCCTCTCGCGGCGTCACGGCGTCAGGCACAAGAGCAGTGAGCACCGACTAGGAGGAGGAGGAGGAGGAGGTTATTGGCTGCTGGCTGCACGGGCACGGGTCGCCAAAGTTTGATTCGAAGGCAAGCTTGCTATTAGTTGGCGTTTCAATTCCATCACAGGCGCCCGCCACCTAATTACACACACTACTATCCACCACCCACGGCCACGGGTGCGGGATGCTCTTGGTAAAGACCGCCCCAACCTACACCCATCGGCCATCGCAAGCGCAAAATGCAAATGACATGCGCCGACAATAACGCAACAGAGGCTAGTTATCTGTTACAGCGACGGCTCGCGGTTGTTGTGGTGTGCCATTAGGTTATACGCCACTGGATGTATCATAGCTCTACGAAATATGGTAGAGCTACTTATGTAGTCGTTGAACCTCCATGTTATACATCGAGCGCCTTTATAACATTATGCTTTCTCAAATCAATTTCTAGAGTTATCTCAAATCAAACTCGTGTAAATCTGACCGATCTTATATATATATATGAGAGAATCTATATCTCTTATCTATAACACCAAGTAATTATATTATACAGATTATAAAAGCATACATTCTAGGGTGTACCTAATAATACTAATTCTATGTCATAAATATCAGTATTTTTTCTATAAATCTACAGAAATTATATAAAAAATGACTTGAATAAATCTCGGTATATACTATTGTAAAAATGAAATTTGGACAGCGTGTTTTCAAAAGCCACTAGGCGTTGGTAAGCTCAAAGGAGGTGGAGACTGGAGCGGTAGATGCACGGGCGGTGGATGGATCACACAAAGATGCAGATCGGACGGTGGGCAAGCGTCCAGCACGCCACCCACCCGCACCCACTGCCCGGGCCCCCATCATATAACGGCAACAAGCGGGCCACGAGCAACACGAAAGAAATCTCCCGTCCCCCTCCGCCTTTCCCTTCGCCCGCTCCGCCTTAACCTTCTCTCCTGCACGCCCCTTCCCTCGAGGGCGGCTGCACGCCTGCACCCGGCACGCGGCGAGATCGGGCGGAGGAGCCCTACTACCCCTCGCCGCGCGGCCTCCGTCCCACGTCCCGGCGTGCTGGGGGGCTTGCTCGCCCCCTGATCCCGCCCGCGCGCGGCGTCTCGAGGGCCGGCGGTGCCGCCGCCGCAGCGTAGGCGGGTGCTGAGTGCGGCGGAAGCGAGGGGCGCGGGGTTTTCGTTTGGCACCGGCGGTGGGCGCGGGAGATCCGGCCAGCGGGGATGCAGCAGGACCAGCGGAACAAGGTGGGCGCCTCTTCTCCTCCCGCTTCCTGGTGCTTGCTCGTAAATTTCGCTATGTTGCCTGCGAACGTTATAAAAAATGTTTCATGTCGGTTTGGGTTCTGGGTTGCTGATAGTGCGCGAGCCATCGATCGATAAATTTACGGAACACCTCTACTTTGCCTTTATTTTTTTCTATATTTTTTGAATTTTTATGTCTGTTTTATTTAAAAGTTTTGACGGGACTCAACTCGACGCGACTCTTCCATGTTCATATCATTGGTGGAGTCTAAATTCGATCTGGACATCGCTTTGAATTGATGATGTAATGAAAAGGTCAAATGCCGCGTGAGCTGAACAGGGTGAGTTGCAGACAGCTCTGATCTCACATGCAAAAGTTGACCATTTTTCGTGCCGCTTCGAGATGCCATCTGTCCCCCGGATTAAACAGCACCGCGGTCTGTTGCCTTGGCCCTGTACTCCTGTCGGCGCGCATAGCTGTTCGTTTCCTTTGCTTGCGGTGTTCGTCGGACACGCCCACGAGGAGGAGACGATTCCTTAGTAAAAGTTAAACTGTTACTTTTTGTGCACACGGTTACTGCCTTATGAGAGTTTCTGTCCGTTCATGTATCTGTCTGCAATGGTTTGGCAACCCCTTCCATTTGCTGACCCGTTTCGGTTTCCCAAATTGAGCATTCAAGTCCTCTGCAGTGGGGGGTTTCTCGAAACAGTTCATTGATCTAGTGTGCGCAATTCGTGTTGCAGACTTCTGCAGAGGCCGACTTCTTCACAGAGTACGGGGATGCAAACCGGTACAAGATCCAAGAGGTCATTGGTAAGGGAAGCTATGGGGTTGTCTGCTCTGCCATTGATCTTCACACTCGGCAGAGAGTGGCGATCAAGAAGATACACAATATCTTCGAGCACGTCTCCGACTCAGCGAGGATCCTCCGTGAGATCAAACTTCTGAGGCTCCTGAGGCACCCTGATATTGTTGAGATCAAGCACATTATGTTACCTCCATCGAGAAAGGACTTCAAGGATATTTATGTAGTTTTTGAGCTTATGGAGTCCGATCTCCACCAAGTTATAAAGGCCAACGATGACTTGACCAAGGAGCATTACCAGTTCTTTCTCTATCAGTTACTTCGGGCCCTCAAATACATTCATACTGGTATGACACTTCTCCCGCTGTTTATGCCAGCCATTTCCCTCAATCTCCCAAAAATGGGAGTGTGCATTTTAGTTCAGTCATGTATGGCTGGTCATAATCCCTTTCATCTCCTTTTACGTTGCAACTCACAGTGAGCATTTGATTGCATACTGTACCTTTTGTAGCCATAGTTTATGCTGATTCTGAACTTACATAATTGCAGCTAATGTTTATCACCGTGACCTGAAGCCCAAGAATATTTTAGCAAACTCTAACTGCAAATTGAAAATATGTGACTTTGGACTAGCCCGAGTCGCATTCAATGATACCCCAACTACAGTCTTCTGGACGGTATGTAAGAAACAAAGAGTCAGCTCTTTTTTCATTGGATTCAGATATAATGTATATCGCGTATTGATACATATGCCCTGCAGGATTATGTTGCAACAAGGTGGTACAGAGCTCCAGAGCTCTGTGGATCCTTCTTCTCCAAGGTGAGCTTTCTAGTTACATACCATTTACTTATTATATTCACTAATAAGCAATGTTTGATGGTCCCATAATATGAATTACCAATTATGATTATTTGAGAATACTATTCGCTTATGTTTTCCTCCTTGACAATGAATTCTATCATGGTTGCTATTGCATTTTACTCTTACCGTTGCCTTGTTACTTTTTGGTAGAATTTGGTAGGAGCTCCAACTCATGTGGAGATGCTCTTTAGTGTCTTGTTTGAATGGTTCTATTCTATCCAAATACCATGAATCTGGATAAAGATTCTCATAGTAATTTCACATGAGAGATATTCATTAAACTCTGTCCTTTATAGGTACAGATATAAATTTCTTTTTGGTTCTGTATGCCATTTTCATTATGTAGTTTATTTTTATGCATGGATCAATCTCATTGATATTTACCTTTTTTTGTCCCTATTATGCACAAATAGGAACCAATAACCCGCTGAATTGCAGCTTTACAATAATGAAATGAACATTTCTTACTATTAATAATGCTTCGCTTTTTTATATAAACTATTGCCAGACTGTCTATAATCTGAATATGCTTTATATTGTCGTTATCCCCAAAAAATGCAGTATACACCAGCTATTGACATTTGGAGCATTGGATGCATATTTGCTGAGGTGTTGACAGGGAAGCCTTTATTTCCTGGTAAAAATGTTGTTCATCAGCTAGATTTGATGACTGATCTTCTAGGCACACCGTCAATGGATACAATTTCTCGGGTATAATGCTATAACCAAGGAAACTCTATTTTTAGTTCGTCTCATGGCTCAGTGACTCCAAAGTTGAACTTGGTTTTTTTTATTCCTTTTCAGGTTCGGAATGAGAAAGCAAGAAGGTACTTGAGCAGCATGAGAAAGAAGGACCCTGTTCCATTTTCTCAGAAGTTTCCCAGTGCAGATCCTTTGGCACTTAAACTATTAGAAAAGCTATTAGCGTTTGATCCAAAGGACCGTCCAACAGCAGAAGAGGTAGTCCTTTGCTGCTGTCTCATCTTAAAAACCTTTTGTGTCTAATTTTTCTCTATGGAACTAGAACTGTGATGCTGCTTTCAACCTTACTTTTGTAATCCTAAGTATTTGTGACATTTCTTTCAATATATGTATTGTTTCAGGCATTGTGTGATCCATACTTCAAAGGTCTTGCCAGGGTTGAAAGAGAACCATCCTGTCAGCCAATCAGAAAAGTGGAATTTGACTTTGAGCACAAAAGAATGTCAAAGGAAGAGATAAGAGAGTTGATATTCCGTGAGATACTGGAATATCACCCACAATTGCTGAATAGCTACATTAATGGCACAGAGAGGACAACCTTTCTCTACCCAAGGTTTTAGCTTTTCTGTGTTTGCACATGTATGTTGCTTTGCGCATGCATGTATTTACTCATGTATCTGTTCGTTTCAACCCTTTGATGGAAACACTTGCTGGCTATTTTTTATGCAGTGCTGTTGATCAATTTAAGAAGCAGTTTTCTCATCTTGAAGAGAGTGGTGGTAACAGCCCATCAGTTCCAACAGACAGGAAACACGCATCCCTTCCCAGGTAATAGGGCATCAAAGTCTTGATTTCATTCGCAGGCTACTTTGAGGTGCACTTTCAAGTACATGTACATCTTAGTTTGTCTCCATATTAAGGTTCTCCCTTGTGGCCTTAGTGCCCAATGGTAAGAAGAGCCATCCTTCTGGGTTGGGTATGAGTTCGTTGTTAGGATGTTGATACCTGAGAGCGAAGTGACCAAGGCTAGATGATCATGGGAGTTCAAACTTAAAAAGATAAAATCGTAGTTCTGCTGGATAATTTCAAAGTTCCTATACATGGTCTTGAATGCAAGATAAGGCCAGGCACCAGAGGTGTTTCCAGCAGTACTCAGTGGTCTCAATGTTCTAGGATTGGGGGTGCACATGTTCTCGAATTCTGAAGTCAACTGTACAATGCTTCACTGGCATCTTACAAGTCATTTTTTTTCTGAAATCAAAACTGACAGTTGATTAGTATGCCTTCAGAATGTTCATAAACAGTTGCTCCACTTGTCTGTGCTTCTGTCCTTTTGTCACTGTAATTTAGTTGAGTGAAAGCTTTTGTTTTTGTTTTGCTAATCTGCAGCTTCATTTTGTAGGACTACTGTTGTTCACTCGAATCCAATTCCTGCCAAGGAACAACCTCTTGCTGCCTCATCAAGGGTTAGACCAGTCTCTGATGATTCATGTAAGAATCCTTGGGAGAAAGGAAGTGGTCCCGGAAATGTTCCCAGGGCATCTCTGGCTCCACAAGGGCTGCAAGCACAAGCAGGTATTTCTGTGTTCACTTATTGCTAGTTACTCCCTTTGTTCCAAATTGTAAGTCGTTTTGGTTTTTCTAGGTACATAGTTTTTGCTATGCATCTTGATATACACTATGTTTAGATACATTGTAAAAATTACGTATCTACAAAAGCCAAAACGACTTATAGTTTGGAATGTGTGTGGGGGGGGGGCGTACTACAAATGATTTGTTGATATTTTTCGACTTACAATGGCCCTTCTGCGATTTTCCCCTATTTGCCAGCAGGATCAGTAAGAGTTAATGGCTCAGTGATGAATTCAGGGTATCCTCATCATCAACAAATCCCACAAGCATACCGTCACCGCCAAATGCCTGCAACATTGGACAGTACCAACCCATCACAGGCCATGGGAGGTTACACACTGCAGTCGCAGCAGGCTTATGCTTGTGCAAACAGCAAAGGCTCGCCCGATGTGGCTGTGAACATGAGAGCACCCCCCTTCCATCTCCCAGCTGGACCAAAGAATAATAACCCATTAGATAGAATAGCAACTGACACCGACATATACACAAGATCCCTTAACGGCATTGTTGCTGCCGCCACGGCATCAGTAGGCGCTGGCGCTAGCGCTCACCGAAACGTTGGCGTCGTGCCATCTGGCATGTCAAGGATGTATTAGCTGCCGATATGCTGGCCACAGCTTCTCCAGGACTAGCCTGCAAGAAGTGGCGTATGGTATTAGTAGTAATTCATAAGAGGTGATCACATAGAGTCTTGGACTCTTCAACATGTATTGATTGAGGCGAAAATGTGCCAGTTTGCGCACAGCTGAAGTCTGAAGGATTGATCAATTCATTTAATTCAATGGAAATTACGTATTTGTTGATAGTAAAAGGATGCTAATCCAAGGGAAAGGCTGGAGATATTCTGACATAAATGCAACATTTGCCGTTGCCCGTTGCAGTGGTGCGCCCCTCTGCAACGTACGTCTTATTCGATATATCTTGAAAGTGAACCTGTCTGAGTTCCAATTGCCATCGTCCAGCGCCATTAAGCTTGCAACTCCAGCACCAGCGCCATTAGCTTACAATTGGAACGGAGAGAGTACTAATATAATGCCCAGCAAAAAACGAAAAGTAGGAATCTTTTGTTCTAGATATTATTTATTAATAAACTGTACTTCCTCCATCTCAGAAATAAGTTCGTTTTGGACATGATTTAGGATATCAAGGAGTGATTAATTAAGATGTATTTTTCTCAATCTTCCCTTATTAAATAGGGTTGCGGAACGTTCGTAACTGGAGTGGTAGGCGCGCCTCCTCCGGAGGCTGGATGGCACGGTTCGATCCCTACTGGCCGGCCGTAGTATTTTTGCCGAGAATTTTGCATGCACTGTGCGGCTCGTATTGGCCTTGCATGCTGCTGGCCGCGTTAATTACTCCGTAGAAACGAAGAGGCGTTAATTACCAGTAGTATACGCGGGGGCAAACTCGTCACATTTTACCGTGGACCACTGAAAACGAATTCATTTGTGAAAACTCTCTAAACCTGTTTTGTTTTTACGCTCGACGATTTACAATTCGGCTATTCCAAGATTTTTTGCATGCTTGCAGGAAAAACTGTCCAATCTTTGGTTTTTTTTTGAACCTGCAATCTTGGTTTCCAACACACACTTTGTTTTTTATCCAAAACACACCCACTTTGTTTGCCCCGGCGGCGTAGCATGGTTTTTATCCAAAACACACACACACACACACACACACTTTGTTTGGCCCGGCGACGTAGCATGGTTTTTATCAAACACACACACACGCTTTGTTTGCCCCGCCGGCGTAGCATGGTGGGCCTCGTAGAAGCTCGGCTCAAACCAAAATAAGGAAATGGCGAGGGCCCAAACAAGGAAACAAGCATACGTCCGGATCGCCGCCCTCCACAATGTGCTGTTTCCTTTTTTTTTATAAAAAAAAGAACATAGAACCGTTCACGATTTGTATTTGTTGTTTCCTGACGCGAGAAAAGAAGTAGGAGTAGAGAAAACAAAGGAATCAATAATCAATCAAAATCAAAATCGCAAAAGGATGTTCACTTTTCCTTGTACACATACATGGCAAGAGCAAAGAGGGAATCGTTTTTCTTTTTGTTGAAGATTAAGAGGGGATCAAAATCGCAAAGACTGTTTATATTTCCATGTATATACATCACTAGTACCTCATGCATGTGCCCTATATAATAAAACCCAAGCAATCCTTGCTTACCTTTACTACCAAACAAACATTCTACTACGTCTCTCCCTTTCAATTCAAAAGGATCGGATCGGATCGGATCCAATATGGCGGCCAGGGGCTTCAGCGTCGGCCTGGCAGCGGCCGTGTTCTTGTTCGTCGTGCTCTTTGCTTCACCTGCACACAGTGGCGGATCCAAAGGGGGGGCTGGGGGGGGGGCTCCAGCCCCCCCCTAATTTCTTGATTTCAATGCTAATTACTGTAGCAAAAACGTGATTTCATCGTTAAATCTTCGTGCAAATCAACATCTCTGTTGTTTTAGCCCCCTCTTATCCCGCATCCCACATCCGCCACTGCCTGCACAATGTAAGCGTGTAGATTACAACCTTTGCTGGTCTCTGCATGTCATTGATGCCATGTGTATCTATGAATTTGATTTGCAGGTCGTCGAGGGCTACTTGATCAGGTCGGAAGTCCAATGAGGTACCCAAGCGATAATGCTACTACTACCGCGGTCGTCAACTCCACGGCACTGGATGGGAGCAAGTTCACGCTGATATTTTGTGTCCTAAGGCTGTGTGGCAAACGAGACTGCTATTGCTGCGAGACTGGAGATTACTGCTACTACTCACGGAAACAGTGCCAGGCCAACTGCGACAGCTGCGACCCCAAGTGCCCGCCGCCGCGGTTGCCCCTGCAGTAATCGGCGCAAAGGGCATGCCAGTCCGGCACACAACCGTCTGATCTGGAGCATCTCGGCTCATGGATATCTGGCCTTCTGAAATTCACCGTCTTGAATATGTCCCAAAGATTTGATGTTTTAGTATTTTTAATTTAAGATTTAATAGCTTTATGTGCTTTGTACTTTCGCTTTTTTTTAATAAACTAGCAAATATGTCCGTGCGTTGCAACGGGAGAACATAAGTTATCGAATATATAGGAATGCTGAGAAAATAAGCTATCGAATATTCGTGGAAGATGAGAATAAAGAATGTTATATAGCTATTTGTATTTTATCCTTCTATAAATTTTTTAAACTAATTTATTTTACAATGATCATGACGTCCATAATATATAATATAAAAAATTAATATTGATAATATTTGAGATCTGTAAAGGTGGCTTTGATTCGTGTAGCGGCTTGGCATGGCACAAGCACCGAGCCTATACATGATTTTTTTCAATTAAATAAAAGGCAAAGTGGTCAGCACCGTACATGCTTCTGTTTAGTTGTAACCATTTCCTTAGCGGAAAGTTGTTGTGTCCGACCCGAACTCCGCAGACGTGGGTGTCGGACGCTGCAGGCGGGCCGAGCGATTAGTTAACGACGATAAATCTTCATACTTTTTATTAGGTGTGTAGTATTTGTGTGAATGTATATGTATGTATGTGTATGTGTATACGGGTAAACGTAAATAGTACATAGAAGTTTTTTTTATTTGGATTAGGACTCCAATTCACGTTAGTCAGGATGAGAGGAATTAAATTAGGATTCCTCGTTATGTAAGTTATCTCAAAAAGCCCTACATATGCTATATATAAAATAGAGTTGTACAAAGATAAACAAATATAGTTTCTATATTTATGGAGTTAGTTAGAGGAAGACGGCAAAAAAATGGATGAACCAAAATAAATAGGCTGAAATTGTCTTTTTATTATTAGGTATATGTATAGATTTTGAGTAGGGGTGCTTTCCACTCTTGTTTACCTAAAAAAATTAGCGCTTAATTGAAATTATTCATGTATCTCTTTATCCAAGGCGATTCATGCATGATACCTGCAAAAAAAATCATGGAGGCAGACATATCACAATCTTAAACTTATATGGCCCAAACTAGTTTTATAAAAGTTACTGCCTCTTCGCTTGAACTTATCAGCCGTACCGTTTTAGCGAAATAATAATATTTTTCTCTCATAACAAATCAGCATCAGCTGTTTTTCCAGGGCCTTACTCCCTCCGTTCCAAATTATAAGTCACTTTGACTTTTTTTGGTCTATCTATTTTGCTATATGTATCTAGACATATTATTATTTCTAGATACATAGCAAAATGGATGTAACACAAAAAGTCAAAACGACTTATAATTTATAATAGAGGGAGTAAAACATTATTTTTTTCTAGGGCAGAGAGTATTAATTGAAATATTATTGTTTGTGACAAAAGTAACATAATATAAAGAGAAATGGGCAGGGAAGCAGGCATTTTATTAATAGGAAATGCTACAGTGAGGACATCCGATCCTCCGAACGCTCCCGTTCATGGTCCACAACACCAGCCCAATGGCCCAATAGTCGTAACCTCTCCTCCACAACTCCCTAACCGTAGCCTGTTGTCTCCATTCTCCAGAAAAAAATTCACCGCAGCTCGAGCAGCCGCGCTCCGCCGCGCCGCCCCAGTGTTCTCCACGGTGGCCGGGGGCCCGACGGCAGCATCTCCACCATGCCCGAGCGTGCCCGCCCGCCTTGATCCCTCTTCATCGCGCCTCTCGACTGCCTGCCTTCCTCCCTCTCCACCGCGCCTCTGGCCCGCCGCGACCTTCTCCACCGGAGTAGCGACAACTCGCGCTGGACCCGTCACGGCCTTCTCCACCGGAGCGGCGATAGCTCGCGCTAGCACCAGATCGGGAGCGCCACCATCCGGCGCCGCGTCGATCCACCTCGCCCGTCACGGAAGGGAAGTAGGGGAGGCCTGCGCCTGCGCCCCCATCCACCTCGCACCGTCGGCAGGAAGGGGAGGCCCGCGCCACCGTAATTCCCCACCAGGTAGGTCATGACCGCGTGGCGATGCTGTATTTCAAGTGTTTCTAGACGTTTTTTTCAGACATGTTGCAAGCTTATTTCTTAAGTCTTTCAGTTGTTTCAGATATATGTTTCAATTGTTTCATGCGGATGTTGCAAAAGTAGATTTGGATGTTGCAATGGTTGTACACGTATATGTTACAAGCGTCTATCCCTAATGTTTTATCTGTTTTTTTACACGTAGGTTTGAAACACTTACAACATACGGTTACCGGCTCTGCTGCTTGCCATGCTCGCATCACGTGTGATATCTTCCCTGCACGAGCTTGGATCGTCTCTTCCTCTCCATCTCGGATAATAAATCCCTAGCTTCCTCTTGATGAGACCACCATCGGCATTTACATTCTTCACACCGTTTGGGGGGCCACTCCATTTATTTCGACATTGTCTCATGGTAATCCATGTGAGCTCCTGATGATCTATTTGTTGCTTAGGTTTGAGGAGGAGAATGTGCTCCACACACTGTTTGGCGTCTGACAACACACTTAGCTCCACTCTGACGTCCTCAACCCCGTCGTAGTTACCGTCAAATCCAAAGTGAGTGTTGAGTTGTGTGTCTGTCAACCTTGATTACAGCCATCGCTTGGCCCGCGCCAAGATTGGTCGGGCATTATTTTGTCCCATTAGAACACGACCAGCACCGCCTTAGCTATATTAGATGGCCTCTAGTTCATCATCGCACTCTGGATTCACAAACGGATCTATGAGTTTCCCTCTCCCTCGCTTTACCCTCTCTCTCCTAGAAACCACCACGGCGCACAAACAGGCTTGGCGAGAAGGGAGAAGGAGGAGAGGCGGCAGATGGAGAAAGGCGAAGGAATGGGAAGAAAACCCTCTCCTTTCCCCTATTTAAATGCGGATGGGCAGGCAATGGGATGCGTCATGACTGATGGGACACACCCTGCCCAACGAAACATCACCCGGTTAAAACAGAACGTGGCCTAGGCAGGGCCCACCACTACCACAACCCAAGCACAGGAAACAAGGCGCAACTGCATGCAAACGACCCTCCGCCTTCCTAGGTAGGGCTTGGAAGGGCCCACCGATGGGATCTCCGTCGAGGAGAGACCAACGGGCTTCCTGAGTCGATCGGACAGCTCGGGCAACTGCCGAGAGACAGATACGGAAGACTAGGATGCTCGTGCAGGTTACACCGGCCCCGACACGAACGTCGAACCCAGACCCCGCATGGACATATCTTGTAAGAGCTCCCAGAATCCGTCACTCGTGCCATCAATGTAACATTACCGATCCCCACTTTTTCTTTATATGATCATTCATTCATACATTCATTCAGTCATTCATACATTCATCCCATACATCCAAGCATTGTATATGCAATTGCTGCATGACAACGCTTCGTGTTGCGTCACGAAGCGGTAGTCGCCTCATTCAACATGAGCGACAAACGATCGGGGTTCGAAGGCCGACCCACGAAGGGCTCGAGGTTGCCTCGCGTCAAACGGAGCCAGGGGAGAAAAACGCAGATGAGCCCCAGCGGCCCTCGCTTGATCTGCTCAGAAGTAGACAGGGTCATCTCGACCTTCTCGTTCGATCCAAACCTCGAGCCATGCCCACATAATCTCCACCGAGGGGAGGCCAACGGGCCACCTGAGTCGGTCTCCGGAACAGCTTAGACATCTGCCGAGAGGTGGGTTATGGAGCAGTGGAATGCCACATAAGGGCTATGCCGACCCCGTTACGAACAATGGACCCAGATTCCACTAGAACATACCCGTTAGAGAGCTCTCCGAGCGCGTCACCCAAGCCATCGAGGCAAGCGACGTTAGCTCAATCCCTCTGGTTGTGGAAACCATGGACGGGGTAACGCACGAAACTCAACTGACCCCTACCAAGCCCAACGGGGCTCAGGGGTTTGGGTCGCCTGGCCCCTCGGTGCGCCCGACGGCTGTGCTCAACGCCTTGGTTGGCACCTTGGTTAGGCGACTCCATCACGTCTGACCCCTTAGTGTGCTCGACCCCTCAGTGCGCCCGACGGTCGCGCCCGACACCTGGGTCAACGACTCCATCTCGCCCGACCCCTCGGCACGCCCGACGCCTTGGTTGTTGACTCTGTCTTGCCCAACCCATCGGCGCGCCCGACGACCGTGCCCAACGCTTGGGTCTGTGACTCCGTCTCGCCCGACCCCTCGGCATGCCCGATGCCTTGGTTGGCGACTCTGTCTCGCCCAACCCATCGGTGCGCCCGATGGCCGTGCCCGACGCTTAGGTCCCCGACTCCGTCTCGCCCGACCCCTCGATGCGCCCGACGACCGCGCTCGACGCTTGGGTCCGTGACTCCGTGTCGCCCGATCCCTCGGCCACGCCCGACGCCTGGGTTTGTGACTCCGTCTCGCCCGATCCCTCGGTCGCGCCTGATGCCAACGTTCGGTGCGCTCGCACGCATCCACTGGCAAGTTGAAAAATCCCCTAGGCGATTCTACCTAAATCACCCTAGGGCTTGGGGGCTACACCCACCAGGTGCGCTCCCGCGCACCCACTGACAGAACGAAAAATCCCCCAGATGATTCTACCTAAATCACCCGGGGGCTTAGGGACTACACCCACTGGGTGCGCTCGCGCGCACCCACTGGCAGAACGAAAAACCCCCAGGCGAGTCTACCCAAATCCCTCGAGGGCTCGGGGGGCTCCTGTCGGGTTCATAAACCCAGGGTCCCCAATGGGCCCGCTTCCTAGCAAAAAGCTCAACCCAGCAAACGACATTGCGACAATGTGCAACTCCTAGGTCGGCCTAGATACCTAATGACAGGCCAGAAGAGCGATCCAGTCTCCAACCGGAAGGCCTAACCAAGGAGGAGACGACGCTCGCTTCTGACTCCGACCTGCTTCTCCGACCGGGAATACACCGAACCCCTGCTTACAGCTCTTCTCCAACCGACGCGG